CAAGTCCTCACTGCTTTACAAGATCAACAGTTCTATGCCAAGAAGTCTAAATGCTCTTTTGGCTATACTTCAATTTGGGGTATATTATCAGTGGTAATGGTGTTTAAGTGGATCTCTCAAAAATCACAGCCATACTGGATTGGCCTTAGCCAACAACTTTCAAGGCTCTAAGGGGTTTCCTGGGCCTTACAAGCTATTACAGAAAATTTGTGCGGCAGTATACAAAAATTGCTACACCTCTCACTAACTTGCTAAAGAAATACCGCTTTGTTTGGTCATCTGCAGCTTTTTCAGCATTCTCCAGTCTCAAGATTGCTATGACCACATTGCCGGTTCTGGCCTTACTAGATTTTCCCCAACCATTTTCAGTAAAAACAGATGCTTCTAATGTGTCTATTGGTGCAGTGCTCTCCCAGCAAGGCCATCCGATTGCAATTTTTAGTAAGAAAATCAGGCCTGATATGCAGGCAGCCTCTACCTATGCTAAGGAGATGTATGCAATCACTGAAGCTGTGCAGAAGTGGCATCAATATCTGCTTGGCAACCCATTTGTCATCTACACAGATCAACAAAGTCTCAAAAGACTTATGCCCATCCCATTCAGACCTTAGAGCAACAGAAATGGCTTGCTAAGTTTCTTGGTTTTCAGTATAACATTCAGTATCGACCAGGGAAACACAACAAAGTTGCAGATGCTTTCTCTCGATGTTACTCCCTCCATGATACTTAAAATGCTATCTCTGGGCCTATATTCTCCTATTTGGATCAACTGCAACAGTTCGATAGCTCTACTGAGGAAGGTAAGACTTTGGTGGCCAAAGTTATGCAAGATACTATCCCTATTCCAGATATTATTTTTTCCCAAAGACTCTTGTGGCATGCGGGCAAAATTGTGGTTCCTATTGGATGTGAGTTACAGCAAGCCTTACTTATAGAGTTTCATTCTTCTCTCACGGGTGGTCGCACAGGTAAATCAAAAACATCGGCTCGATTATTAGCTAATTTCTATTGGCCACAGATGCGAGCTTCAGTTCAAAACTTCATTCAACAATGCCAATTCTGCCAGCAAGCGAAATACTTAAACAACTAAACAAGGTGGATTGCTTGAACCATTGCCTATCCCATCTCACATTTTTACTACTTATCTGCCTCTGTCTCAGGGAAAATCCACTATCTAGGTAGTGATTTATCGTTTGTCCAAACATGCTCATTTTGTTCCTTTACCTGCCTTAATTACAGCTCCACAATTGGCAGACATTTTTGCTCGAGAGATTGGGAAGTTACATGGGATTCCTTGCTCAATAGTCAGTGACAGAGATCATTCTTTCACAAGCACATTTTGGAAAGAATTCTTTAAGCTACATGGCATTGTGCTCAAACTCAATAGTGCAAATCACCCCCAGACCGATGGGCAATCAGACGTTCTTAATCGTTGCCTAGAGACATATTTACGCTGCTTTGTCAGTGAACAACCCAGACACTGGGTGCGCATTCTGCATTGGGCTGAATGGTGGCATAACACTTCTTATCACTCATCTATTGGTATGACGCCGTTTGAAGCTGTGTATGGTATACCTCATCCAACGATCACTTCGTATATCTTAGGCACCTTCAATATTGGTTACCTTGATGACAGTCTACTTGAACGACAAGAACTTCTAAAACAACTGAAAGCCAATTTGGAGCGAGCGAGGAACCGCATGAAGATGCAAGCTGATCACCATAGAGTGGAACGTGTGTTCAATGAGGGAGATTGCGTTTTTGTCAAGCTGCAACCTTATAGCCAACACTCTGTTGTTCCTAAAACCCAACAGAAATTAGCCAAAAAGTATTTTGGTCCCTCTCGAATTCAACGCCGCATTGGCCCTGTGGCTTATGAATTGGCTCTACCAGCAACATAAAAAATACACCCTGTTTTTCATGTATCCTTGCTTAAAGCATGCCATAGATAGCCATCGTCTTCCATTTGTCAATTGCCAGAGCTAGCCATCGATGATCAACCTGTTCTAATACCTGAGAGAATTCTGAAAAGAAGAGAAGTTCAGCGCCAGGGTTCTGTCCTCACTCAACTTCTCATACAATGGAAGCACTTACCTGCAACAGAAGCCACATGGTAATGGGAACATGTGATTGTGGCTACTTTTTCAGAATTCAACCTTGAGGACAAGGTTGTTGCCTAAGACATGAGCAATGACATAAGCCCAAAATAGAAAGAGGGACAGTAGCTCAGTGAGAAGTGGGAAACGCATCAGCAAAGCCCGCGGTTGGATTAAGGATTTTGTAATGAAATAAGCCCAATTAGTTGTTGCTAGAATTGGTTGTAGTATGAATTTGTCCTTATGTATTGCATGACTGAAGAAAAAAACGATTATTGTACCAAGTTGTCAAAGATTTTTCCTTATAAGTTACGGAAGAAATGAGAGGAATACAACAAGAATTTTCTGATCAATTCTCTCTCACCTTTTCTTTCCTCTCTTTTCATCCTTTCTCTCTATTTCAAACGTATCACAGACACCGTTATCCTATTTTAAAATTGCTGTTAAAGAAGATATTGGGCCACCACTGAAAATGTATAAATCAAGGAAGAATGGAATGAGATACCCAAACCCAAACTCAGTACTTTGGATGTAAACAAACAAGAAAGGAAAGGATATTAAGCACACTGACAATAATCTTTTAACAAATTTGATCCCAATTTGGAAGCAAGAAAAGCCTAAAAACTTGGGTGTTTGATCATCTCTTTTGAAAGGTTATGAAATTGATTATCCCACCATTCCATCTTCTTGGGCTTCATAAAACCACCTCTCCTCCCAAAACCACCATAGCCAATTCCTCCAAACTGCATCTTTCAGGGACAACTTGTCAGCCTCTTTCCTCAGCTCCACTCTCTTTCTTATCATTAATCCATCATCCTCCTATCCTTCACAAGCTTCTTTCCTATCTGCTCGATCCCAATGCTAACCACAACTGTCCGATTGTCATAAATGAAGTACCTGACAACTTTTGGCATCGGACTATATTGACATACTTCCATGAGAAGGCAATGGCTACCGACACATAGTTGCAACAAGGCACAAGGCTTCTCCTCTCAGATTGTCTTCAATAATTCAAACCAAAAACCAAACCAAGAAAAACGATGAAATAAGTTTTATAACTATAAATAATTTTGTGCAATTTAAATACAAGTTCTATATATATATATATATATATGATACCTTTTCGCCTATTTTTCTTGCCATATATTGCTTGTACCCCATGTATCCATTCCCTGAGTTTGGTTTCTGATTCTGTTGCACTGACGTTTATGAAGAATTTGTTGTCTATGGTGACTACACGTGTCCGGGAGTTCTTGATCCATTTGGATGGAAATCTTTTTGAATTCTAATTCTTTGTTTTCTTCTTCCATAGTAAAACCCTAGTTTTGGAACCCTAGGAGAGAGAGGCAAAAAAGAGTTGTAGGAAGAGGATTAGCACAGAAAAAAAAAAAACTTTAAGAATAATTGTTGCTAATGTTTCGTATTTTTGTAAGATCATCGTAGTAATGTAATCGTAAAAATGGTTTTATCATCAAAGTAATTTTATCACTTATAATTTGAAATCATTTTATTTAATTAATAATTTTTAATTTTTAAAAATTAAATATTACGATTTATATATTAAAAATAAGATATTATTTTATTTAAAAATGTGAAAATAATTATATTTATTGTAATAGTTAAATAAATTAATGATTTTAATATTCTTTAAAGATAATAATTTAAAAATATTAGTAATATTATATTTATTTTATAATAAAAATATAATTAAATTATTAAAATTAATAAATATATTTATTAATAGATAAACTAATTTTTATAATATAAATTATGTAAAAATTTTGAATTAGAAAATAAAACTAATCTATTAAATTCATAATAAAAATTAAAAAGATTGTATTGCATATAAAATATAAAAAAAAATACAAATACACAAATTATTTTTAAACTTATTTCAATGAGTATTAATTTGAAAATATAAAAATTTATAATATAAAATAATTACAATTTCAAGAGAAAGCAAGTTTTAATTCACATATTAAATTGATAATATTAATTATTATTAATTTTATATGTCATTTCACTTTGTGATAAAAATTTTCACCTTTTTAAATAAAATTTAAATCATCTTTCAAAATAATGATTTATTCATTCTTGATAGTTAAAGATTATAATCACATAAAATTACCGATTGTCTATCAAATATAATGATTTAATCACCATATATAAAATCATCATAATTTTTAAAATGATCAAGTGTGCATTATTAAAAGAATTGAAAATTGTGTTCAAAGTGGCATCCAATTCTTCTCTTTGGAAACAATTTTTATACATTGTATAGATGTACAGATTGTATACCTATTTTAGGGCATATTAAACTTGGTGTGCAAGTAAAGGCTGCATAGGAGACACCTTTACTAAAAAAACACAAACATTTAAAAAAAAAAAAAAAAAGAAGACAACAAATTACTGTAACATAACTAAATCTGAATAACAAAATTTGAGTATACATGCACATCAATCTCTGGACTTTAGTACGATTTTGCTGAATTAAGCTCTTGTTTGGAATATTAGTTCTCTGCCTCAATCAGATTTAGGGTCTTTGAGACAGATTATGGGGCAAATTTCTTAAACATATAAAGGAACTTGCAGAAGTTAATCATATGATATGATGTATGAGGGTAGCATTTTGATTGCCCACTCATAGCTGCAGCGCTTTATTTTAATGTGTCACTCTTGTTTGGTTTACCATAAAATAGTTTTCATTAACTATTCCTTCTTGCAACTTGAATTTTTATTATTTTTTTTAAAAGTCAAAAGCTGTAACTGATAAAATTTGAAGCCTATAACTACTAAATATCATTTCGAATGAATTTATAAACTGAATTAAATGTAAAGCTTGTGGAAAAATTCACCGTCAGACTTGATGAATCGCACTTTATTGCTCAAAATGAATGATTTTGGTTTTGTAATTTTTTAATTGTTCCAAAATCTTATAAGTTGAATTAATCAAATTCAATTTGTCTCGTTCTATCTCAGAGTATCCATTCACTCGAAACCGATCTGCCTCCATTTCCACTTTCCGTAAGCGGGCCCGGGCTTTTTCCAGCTGTTCAATAACCCACTTCGTAATTTGCTACTGACAATTTCATCATCTTTAAGTAGAATGAAGTGTATACACTAAAATTTTGAATTAAAACAAGCATTCCGATTAGAACTACAATGACCAGTCCTTTGCCACTAATTTACAGGTCAAGGTATCCTTTGGTCAATTTTCATTTACTTGTGCAACTAACCTCCAAGGCTCCAATTGTACCAACCACGTTCAACTTTGTAGTCCTATCAAGTTAATTTTGATGCAAGAAATACTAGCTAATGAGCATGGTCAATAACAATACCGTGCCTTTAAACTCTGTTATAATTTGGCAGATAACAACATCAATTTATATATTCCACAAGATGAATAAGGTGGCATCCACTTAAATGAGACAGCAATAAACAAATTGAAGGCTCACAGAGGACAAAAAAAAAAAAACCCACTAATATATCCACTTAAATTCAGCGTGGGCTCTTACTTACAGGAAAACAATCAATGAAACTGATAAAAGTGGAATTATAACCATCCAAGCCCAAAAAAAAAAAAATCAACTAGAGAAGAAAAAATTATAGCAAAAATAAATAAAATATACAGGCACAGTGCAGGTTCAGTAAACATCGTGAAATCTACTTGCTGAAGATGTATTAATTTGAGTCATACATGAAAAATTTTACTCCTTACGAAGCGCCTCATAGCTTTCAACAACAGAAGTTCCCTAACCAATGAAGCACTGTTTGAACGGCATCATCTTCGCAAAACCATAACACTGCTGGGACTGTTCTTGAATATTTTGCTCTGAAACGAAACTTTACTATGATTACCAAATAAATGGCTTGATTCTTCAAATGAACTACCTTCCAGGTTTTAAGAAAGTTCTTCCTTGTTGAACTTGTTCCAAGCTTCCTGGTTTATATAAAATAAAATATGGAAAACAGTCAACAATAGTATAGTAAGTATTTAGAACCACCAAAGTGAAAGATTACTATAGTTTATAGTACAATAATTATAAAACCAACAAACTAAAAAGTTTGTTATATTTTCTTTGCCTTTCCTCCCCTTGGTTTAAGCTTATATTTCTATTTGTTTCCATCCAAAACTCTCAAATAAACTACTCATTGGACATTGTAAGCATGACGTTTGCTTGGTATCCTAGAAGACAAAGAAAACAATTAAAGACAGGACATCTGGCATCACACACATTTGACTAGATACCAGAAAAGGCAAGGAACAGAAAATAATTGAAGTTTTTGTTTTAACAAATGCAAAATAATCTATAGTTATATGTTTAAACTATATGAAACAATTTCAGATCAAGAGAGAGAGAGACCAACCAAGGAAGAGAACAAATTTAAGAATAAAAAGGAAACAAATGGTTGATATAAAAAAACTGAAGATGGAAGAATAGAGGTAGGACAAAACCTTAGGCAGGTGTGAAGAAAAATAGGAATGTCTAAGAAGCCTGGGCTAGTTATGACATATGTCTGGGCATATAATAAACATTTTAAAAACACAAAACATTTTAGGTGTACATACCCAGCGCAGGGTACTATATAACTCCCCTGCCACACTTCCATGTTAAGGACTGCCATCTAATACCATCTACATCCCTGACCTAATCCCTGATTTTCAAATTGAAATTTCCATCCTAACGAAACAAGTTTACTCAAAGACCCATCACTATGGGAAGGTACTTGGCAGACTAGACCCATCACACCAAACATCGGTCTTAAACTTTGGTCTACCCATTCCTTCAAAGAGGACTGATGCAATGTGGTCATTGAGGATACAACTCATGTTAAAATAAATAATTCCTTCTCAATAGTAGTGAGATGCATACAGTACCTTGAGAATATCGAAAACCTTTTCAGCAATATATTTCTGTTCAAGAGTGGCACCTTTCTGCTGAACCTTGTCAGGATGGACACATAATGTGGCCCTTCTATAAACTTTTTTAACAGAGCCAGAGGTTATTAGATCAGTCAGTGAAACTGGCTCCCAACCACATTCAGACCAAAGCACCTGTTCATTGAAGTATAAGGTTAGTGATGCAATACAAAGAGCCACAAATTCTAGACATTCAATAATGATTTCAAAACATTAAACTGATAAATTCTTATTAGAAGGTAAAAAATGATGAGGAACACACCTGTTGCAATGATGATAGAAGTGCACGCATATTGCCTTCCTTCCCTGCAGCCCAGCGTTTTATCTCAAAATCCATAGCTTCAGCAATCCTCTATGAAAATTAAGATTAAGGTGAATGACCAAGTTGTCAAAATTCAAAGAATTCATGATATACGATAAAAAGGTGGTGCAAAAGCAAGTGAAGTGCATAAAAGCATGAAGAATTAATACCCCATCTCTAATCTACAATTAATGCATCAATTGAACCACTTACACGCCTCTCTTCTTGCTCATTCTGTGTTTGCCTTTCCTGCTGGTTCATATTAGCAACTGCTCTTGCCTAACACAAAAACAATCCAACTGTTGAACTATGTCTTACAAACAAAATATAGTCTAAATTTTAAAACCCAAAAAAAAAAGTTTAAGAAAGGATGTAACAATAAAGGTGCCAACAGAAGAGTTTTCTTGACATTTTCGCAGCATATGATGCTTATTTGAAATCAAGATGATACAGGTAAGTCTCACCACAGGCTCAAAATGGTCGGTAGCAATTTGAGTATCAAGCTCAAAGATGGAAAAAACAGTATAAGATGATGTGCAGTGACAAACATTAAGGAAATCTGTGTATGCAGGACACAACTTTTATCACATTTTATGATTACTTAAACAGCTTTAATCATCATTCCACGGAAGAGCAAGGTGGCTGGGGTTCCTTTGAAATTTTGTCCTGGAAAATTAGCCTTGCGTCTGGCTTTGCACCCCCTAAGTGCCCTTAGTTTGCACAGTCTTCACTTATGTGTCTATGTGAGTGTGTGAGAAAAATAGACATGCATCAACATTGACTCCTGTTTGTACTTCTTTTCTCATCAGCAAATTTTTCTCACACTTCTAATTTAATTTAAGCCCATCAATTAAAGAATAAAAATAAGCTAAATTTAAGGTAAGAATATATTTACACACCACTCGATCCTGGGTCCTCTGATGACGTCCCAATCTGGCTCTTCGTCTTTCTTCACTTTCGCCTTTAACTTCCTCAAATTCTCCAAACATTGGGGCAGCTTTTGGGAAAAAAGGACCATAAAAAAAAATTAACATCAAAGAGATATTGTGCAAAGATGAATTTTAGAGCTAGACATAGTCCATTTCGATATTTCAGCAATAATATACCTCCAAAAATAAAAGAAAGGTCATCTATTCCATTTGTCATAGAAGGAGAAGAAGCCTTCTTTCCAGTGGATGATGGCCCAGCAGATGTCTTTTGCTGTCTGTTGTGTATGTTTGCACCAAATATAGGATCCTGATAAGCACAAAAGGAAGAAAAACAATATCAACACACAATTATGCAGTAATAGGAAATATGGTGGTACTTTTTTATATCTATGGTGCTCACCACAGTTGATTCCCTTGACTTTGGTGCACTATTTGATCTGGAACTCACACCAAAAAAGGATTCCAGATCATCTTTTTTATTCTGTTGACTCTTTTTTGTGGCATCTTCAGCTTCTTTAGATCTACTAGCCTTATTATGCACTCTCCCCATAGCAAAGTCCTCAAGTTCATCAATTGGAGATGCACCTGAACTCTTTACTGCATCATGAATCATCTCAATGTTACAAAGCTAATGATGGAATCGCCAAAGAAAAATCAGACATTAATTTTTGCTAAAGGATGAAGAATAGCCTTTACCTGGCTTCAAAACTTGTGCTGGTTTTGGAGGAGGCCTCAATGATGGGGAATCATTTGAAGAACCACGAGGTTTTGCTCCTCCAGATTGATTGAACATAGTGAATTCTTCCAGTGGCTCAGTGGGGGCTTCTGAGGAATTATATTCTGAGCCTGAATTCGACTCTAATACCACAAAAGGCTCCTCTGCTGATTTGAAGGTTGATTTGGTTGCCTTAACATTAGTCCTGCATAGAAGAAATGAAATTTCAAGTAAAGTTTCTAATTTTTACTTACTAACAACATAATCATATTGAAATGCCTATGTCACAACATTGAACTGAAAATATGTACACCAAATGCATGATAAAAGATCCAAGTTATTGCTGAAGACAAATACTAAATAATACAGTCAGAAGACAATAGCTTCAATATATTTTCCTTCCCAGCTTGGAGCACTAGCTCACTAATTTACTATTACAATAATTTCTATGAATGTATAGCATGTAAAAGATTGCAAGCGGTGGCAATTCTATGTTTTAGAAGCCAAAAAAACAGTAGTCAAAGTAGTGGGAGCATTTTTAAGTTTACTAAAACTGTAAGGCTTTTTGATCATCATGCGATTCCAAGCCCTTTCCCGTGTTCATATCAATAAAGCAAGGCTTCATCCCCAACTGCCCACCAAAGCAGAATGTAAGTTGGGTTCTTACAATATTTGGAAATTTAAACAGCATCAAGCAGTAATTATAATTGGTGGAATTGACAAAGACAGGCTCCAACCAACAAAAGACAATCATATATTATCATTATTGATTCTCAAATGATTCTTCAAGTTGTCCAGTCAATTAACTTAACCTGCTCTAAGTACTATCTTAAACTATGAAATTTTCAAATGTGGAGGAATAATACTTAACAAGGAAATGTTAGCACTTGGAATTTTGGCTCAATGGTAGGTGTACATAATCCCCAGCTCAACCCATCCCCCAAAATTTTTTTTTAAAAAAAAAAAGGGAATGTCATAACACAGAAGGTGATCAAATACGTCACTTGATGCTTTAACAGTGCAGAGTAACCTTCATGCATTCAAATTGGTTCAGAACAAAAAATACTACTATATTTTATAGTCAGAGGAACATAAATTAGGGCAAAAAAAAAAAAAAGTAGTTCCGAAGATCATGAGTTTTACTATCTCCGCCATCAGTAAGAACATCTACATACAGCCATCAAATTGTCCATGCTTTACAATATCTCGCATTCTTAAAGACTTTAGAACTACTTTATTCCAAACTAATCCCCAAAAACAAAAATTTCATATTTATTAAAAGAAACTCTAGCAATTATTAAACTAACTATTATCCTACATTCTATCAATGCATACTTTCTTAGCTCTAATAATGCCATTACTATTCATCTTCATTTTTTACAACACAAATAATATGCAGAGTCAAACAGCAAACAATTCAGATAAAAGCTCTAACGCTCAAACCAACACGAATCAGCCAGTAAATTATATCCATTTTTTATGAATAAATTGTATCCATTTAAAATAAATATGAGTACCTATTAACTGGAGGACTGCTTCCACCGAACCCGGGTATCAAATCATCAAAACCAGCCTCATTTTTCCCCAAATCCAACGAACCATTCCCGCTAGAACTCTTCAATTTCGCCGCCACACCACTAAAATCACCCAGCAAGTCACCAACAGAACCCTTTTGCTTCGTGGACGAGGCAAAAAACTCAAAATCATCATCATTACTTGCATTTTGTGAGCCAGGCATTCCTCCAAATAAATCATCAACAACATATGAATTCGAACACGAATATTTTGGACCCGAATTCAACAATATTGAAGCCAAATCAAATGAAGATCCATTACTACTATTATTACTCATATTCGATTGCTTGGTTGTAGGGTTTTGAAAACCACCAAACTCGAAACCATAATCGTCGCCAAAACCAAAAGAATTTTGCGAGTTTTGCTTGGGAAAGAAGTCGTGATCATCAAGCAAAGAGCCGTTACTAGCACTCGAATTTAATGAAGATTTTGAAGAAAATGACGCGGAGTTTCGGGTCAAACCTGAATCGAACCCAAAACTTCGGTTGGTGGTTGCGGCGGCGGTGGCTGTGGTGGTGGTGGTGGCGGTGGATCGTTTGGCTTGAGACATTGGAGCCGATTTTCCTTGAGGTTTTAAACCGTAACGCTCTGTTAAAACACCAAAATCGTCCATAATTCTCACTCTATTAGAAAAGACAAATGAGATCGGTGTTTTAAGCAAATCAAATAAATGAGTGTTTTCCAGATATGAATTATAATAGATCTATGAAGAAAGGAAACTTGAGCTGAGAGAGAGATATAAATGAGAAGCGGGTAAGAAAGGAAATTAGAAAATGATGATGAAAAAATAATGGGAGGATTTGGTTGAGGGATAGGAAATTTTCCAGGGCGAATTGGAAAAAGCGGAAGAGAATTTCGTGGGAGACGAAGACCAGAAGAAACAGAGAAAACTCGGTCTTTTCTCTCTCTTTCCTTCTGTTTCTGTGCGCGTAAAGTGTTGTCGCGATAGATGGCTTTTGAGTGGGTAAGACGGCGAATCGTGGAGCCCACTCTCAATAGGTGAGTGGTGGCCCACCATATCTCGCCTTTTTTTTATTTTTTTTTCATTTTCATATATTTTTTCCTACCAAATTTATTTTTAAGAAATTATCCCACATGTATTATTCTGCATTCAACAAATTGAATTTAAATTTTTTTATTAAACAAAAACTATAATAATTTACAATTATTCTAATAATAATTTTTTTAACATATAATCCCTAATTACTCATGTCCCAGAGCCACACATGAAAAAAGGAATAATCTGGGCAGTGAAAGGTTTAAAAAATCCTACTAATATGCCACTTTCTGTTTTTGTACACCTTTTTTGAATTAGCACACCTACGACTGAGCTGTTGAGAATTATTTTCATAGATAAATAATAAATTATGCAGCCAAAAAAAAATTAGGTTGATTATATAATACTGTAACATTTTACTGAAATTATTTAAAGTTATTTCAAATTTTACTTAAAATTTAATTTTAATTTGGAATTTAAATGTTGACTTGAAATTTAAATGAGTGGCATGATATTTATGAGTTAAAAATTTTTTTTGTATAATTTAATATTACATGTATAAAAAATTATAATAATATTAACTAATGAATTAGATAAAAAAATATAAAATTTTAGATAAAATATTATTTAAAACTTCAAGCATTTTCACAATCGTATCCAATAATATAACCATATAGTACAATCTTTACTTATGCTTCACCCAAAGAATCGAAAGACAATCACTGTGAAAAAGGAAACAAAAGAGAGCAATAATTGTAGAAAATGCCAAAATGTTTATAAAAAAAAAATAGAAAAGATGATGGTCCACAAGTGATTGTACCCACTTAAATTAATAATGGAGCTTAGCTAAGATGGAAATTGGGAGCTTGCCTGCACCTTCCATTGCATTGCATGATTGTCGGCGCTGGTTCCTGACTTGAATGAAGTTTGGACACAATCAATTTTAAAAGTTAATGTTAATGATATATATTTTAATTTTAAAAATTTTTAATGTAATATTTAATTTATAAATTTATTAATTAATATAATATTTATATTTAATATAATTAATTCTAAATAATAATATATAAAAATAAATAAATTTTTATAATATACTATATAATATTATAATATAGTATAATATATTTTGGGTCGTGGACAATAACTGTCACTATTTTTTCACTTAAAAAAAAAAAAAAACTGTTACCTTATTTTGATGCCATGTGGTAACTGACTAATCAAATTTTGGGTCTTCAAAGTTACGTATTAAGTATTATTGTTTCCCGATTAACTATTTCTTACATTAATTAATATGTTATTGAAGTTGGTATTTAAAAATTATTTGTTTAAAAAAATTTAAAAGCATAATATTTTTTTAAAATTAAATATATAATAAAATAAAAAAATTAAGAATAGACTAAGAATTAAAAACAAAAATACTATTGTTTCCCAAATCATCACATTAACGCTGCATTACTGCATTTAAAATATAAATATTACTATTTCTGTGAACACTTGACTCCTTATTGCTTTTACTTTTTTTTTTTGTTATTTTTGGTTTTTTTGCCAGAATTTCTGTTATTTTTTTGTTTTTACTTTTTACCAAAAAAAGTAAAAAAAAATAAAAGTAAAATTAAACGAAATTTTATTGATTAATTAAATTATAATTTTTAAATTAAAATTGACATTACTATCATAAAACATTCTTTTTATGAATATGAATATAATATACTATATAATATACTACAAATTGATAAATTAAGGTAGCACAAAGATTAAATTTTGTTAAAAAAAGAACATGAAAGAAAAAATTTTTAATACCTATTGATTATTTCATAAAAAATAAAAAATGAAAAGCTAGTTGGTACATTCATTTTCATAGGCGTATTTATAGATAGCATAAACTATTTATGGAAAAAGAAAATCCCTATGATTTTGGGTGAAAGATCAAAATTTTAAAACTAGATTAATTTAATTGTTTCTATAGCAAGAAAAGCAAATAAATGTTACCCTTCATTGTCGGATTTCTTTCAAAAAAATTTACATATTACCCTATATATATTGTATACTTTAAATTGTCTTAATTTGTAACCAATTGAAAACTTATAATATAAAAGAAAATTTTTTCTTGTCTAATTAATTTAATTTGATTGATAGTAATTTAATATATTTAATAGTAATTTATTTATTGAAAGCAAGAATATTAGTTATTTATAAGTGAATAATTATAATTAATTTTTTCAAAATATTATTTGTTAAATCAAGAATGTATATTTATTAAATGCAAAACACATAGGGATGTCTAAGATTATCCACATGTCAAAAAAATAAACATTTCATATTAGACTTTTTTTTTTTTTACCCAAGCCTTTGATTTTTATATATTTATATAAGATTTAAGATATTTTATTGAAAATAAAATGTAAGTCAATTGTAAATTTAAAATAAAATAATATAATTAATGTATTGAAATATTCTAAAATTTTTATGAAATCAAATCAATTTTAATATCAATTTAAAGAGAAATAAATATGAATAAATATATTTAATACATGATACATGATTATTGATAAAAATTATTCATATATCAATATTATAAATTATTCATATTGAACATTTTTCTTTTTTGTTAGAAGTTTAGGCTATTATATATTTATACAAAATTTATACATTGTTCATGAAAAAAAATTAACATAAAAATTAAACTTATATTTTATAAATTAAATATTCAATTTTACTAACGCAATGGAAATTATATTTTTCCCTTTCTTAAGAAAGAAAAAAGTGGAGCGACTTAAATTAGACTTTCAACTTCAAGCATAATCTATGAACTAAAATTACGAAATTACCTTGTGACATGTTAACAGCCCATGCCAGTACCTTTTGTAATGGATATCTTATGGAGTGCATTGGGCTCATCTAATATATTAATTTTGTAGAGTTTGGAGGAAGGTCACACCACACCCCACCGTCCTCTAGAAATATATTTTCTTATTATTTTTATTTATTAAATTTATTTATTTTAATTTTAATTTTATTAGATAAATTTAATAAAAAAGCAATTGAAATATAAATGATAAAATAATTTATATTTGGTTAGTTTCAATTCACTGTTTTATCATAGGCGCTTTTAAAAAAAAAAACCTTTATGATTAAATCAAAAATTTTTTATTTGAAAACTAGGTCGGATCGAAGGCAATTTTAAAATATTCTACCCATCTCCAGTGTCTAGTGTTCACGTGATAGTGATGGCACCTCCTTCATTTTATTTTTTAAATTTTTTGTTAGATAAATTTTATAAAAAAAGTCAATCGATATAAAGATAAAAAAATAACATATATTCAATATATTTTAATTTATCATGATACAATAAATGTAATTTTTTTAAAAAATAAAAATTTGATTAAATTTTACTCCTTTAAATAATTTGTATCAAATTGAAATAAGATTTGGGGTATTATGCATCAACCATAAAAAGAATATATTTTATTATTTATATATGTTTATATTAATAAAGATATTTTTTAATATTTTATTTTGATATAAATTACTTTTATATATAAATAAGTTATAATTTATATTAAAAAATAAAATACCATCGATACGATTAATATTCCAAATTTTAGAGATCAACTTTTGTTTTTAAAAAAATAAATTTTTTATTTCTTTTCAAATTTTTTTAAAAAAATTAATTTTTTTTATTTTTTAACGAAATGATATGATGGTGGTAAGAGTCTCGTACACCTTTTCCTTTATTTTTTTAAATATTTTATTTTATTTTTTCTCTTTCTTTTTCTTTTTTTTTTTAATTTTGCACCTTTTACTCCTTTTCAACTTTTCTTTTAAAATTCTTTTAATTTCTTTTATTTTTAATGAAATGATGTGATTGTGTATGTGTCGTGTTCACTTTCTTTCTTCATTCTTTATTTTTTTTTTCTTTTCTTTCATTTATTTGCGTCCTACCAAATGTCTTTTTATTCTTTGCTTTTTTAAATTTTATTCCTTTTTCACATTCTTTTTCCACTATATTTTTTCTCTACACGCAACTCTCATTTTTAACTTCATTTCTCTCATCTTTCTTTCTATACTCTCTTATTCTCTAATACCTCTCTCAAAAAACAATACGAGGGAATAATCGTGGTGAAGAATCGGAAGTTGCTCTACTAAGTTCGAGGTCCAATGAAGATATATATATATATATATATTTATATTTGCCTTCAATTTATATTTATATATTTTAATTATTTATTTTAAAAAAATACATTTATTTAAATATTTTTACCTATTAAAATTTGATATAACAATTTTACTCCTCTCATGTTAAAACATAATTTTAAAAACAAAAATAATCTCGTAACAAAGTACAAGTCTAATTCTAATAATATAGATGCTACAGACTAAGGGAGTCATTATTTAGCCATGCGTAGGATGCCATTTTTTTTTGCATTTTTGTTTTTAAAACACGTCGTTTTATGGGACCCATTTTTGTGTTTTTTTCTCTTCCAGGAAGCGTTTTTTTTTTTTTTTTTTTGTTTTATATATTTTATTATAAAATTATTTTTATCTTTTTAGCAGGGCCCACCATTTTGGGTAGGACCCCTTTTGTATTTTTTTTTATGAATTGTTTTACTTTTTATATTTTTTATTATTAAATCAATTTTACATTTTTTACTGGAATGACTCCTTTATAATCACGAAACCCACTTTTGTGATTTTTTTGGTTAGTTAGTTTTTTTTCCCTTTATATATATTATTTTTCTATTAATGGATTTCACAATTTTCTTTGAGATCTGTTTTTTTTTTTATTTTGTATTTTTAAAATTTTTAAATTTTTAAAATTCTTAATTTTTTTAAAAGGTGGGGTCTACTTTTTTCTTATATTTTTTTATGGCATCCGCCTTTATCTTTGCTTTTATTAAATTTTTTTTTGGTTTAGTGTTGATTTTTTTATTTTTTAT